AGTCTGCTGAGCCACAACAACGATAGATTTGGGGCTTCGACATCATCCATCTTCCATATTGGTTGGACAAAAGGAACAAAACAAGGCCAACGGCTGGTCTGGTTTCGTTTAAAGGCCAATGTCGACTGCTGGAAGCTTTGAAGCTTGCCTGTTCAAACTCCAGCTCAAGGGACAAAGCATTTCAAGAAGATGGCTGGTTTGCTCATCAGCACACATATTGACATGAGGGGTTGTCAAGCATAGCTAGCTGGTGTCATTTTGTGCCTTCTTTGAAGCGGATTAATAGCCCCTGTTTGCCATCAAGTTTGGTGTTCGGGCAAAGTTTGACTGATTGTTGACTAGTGGATCTTTGTAATCGTCCCTTGCGCAGACACAGTTTCTCGTTTTTCCAGTTTGCCCAGCGGCCATGAAAAAAAAACTTGCTAGATTTCAAAGGAGCTTCGCCACATAAAACAAGCCGGGCCACTGGGTAATTGGTTTATCTAGCACAGCTCGGCCTACAGCTGCATCTTGAACCCTCATCCAACCCTTGCCTCGAGCCGGGCACCTCAGAATTGCCGTGGACCAGAGACAGCTGCTCAGCAACTCACGCGGCAGTCGGCCCAGCCAGCCACCTGGGCAGAAAAAGTGAGGGGTGTCGGTGCGTGCCTGAAGCAATTGAGCAGAATATTGACTTTGTGCTACTGGGCGACATCTCTTGGTAGATATGCATTTGAGCCCTGCTGCTTAGTATTTTCTGGGAATGGTTGGCATTGACAAACATGTCTCAGCTTCGGTGGAATTTGTGCAGGCCGATGCTGCAGGCCTGGCATAAAGCCTTTGAAGGCTTCAGCACAAGCCCGGTGGTAGGAGACATCGGCACCCGAAGTGGCCTTCGCCATGCTCGGCTCTGACATCTTTCCTGTGAGCATACACTCAACTTGGAGCAGCATACTGCTCAAGATAGTGATTGCCACAAGTGAAATCGAACTCCAGTTTCCCGAGTGAACCTCAGATTATTTTCTGCAAGTGGACTTTTGCTTGCGTTCTGCAAACACGCTTGATTGCGTAACTCCTAATTAAACTTGTTAAGACACACATTCTTCAAGCTCCGGTGAACCGATAGCAATAGGTCACAGATGTCCAGGAATGACACTCCTTTGTCTTCCAACCGCATGAGCAGACCATGAAACATATTTCGATCACGAAGCTCCTGCGAGCCTAATTGTATATCAGGAAAAGGACATCAACAATCCATTCTACCATTTGGAGGGGTCAAGTTTTAACAATTTTTCCGTGTGAGTCAAAGTCTTCGGGGACATGGCAATGGGAAGTACCAATAGGGGGGAAGTCTACGAGCTTCTCTTTCCATGACACTTTTCATACCACATTCAAGTGCAAATCCATTTTCCAAATTCCCACAACACTTTCTGGCGATACTTGGGAACGGAGTTGTCAACCATCCAAACCGACAAATGGGTGTGGCCAAAAATGAAAATCTAATTGGCCGCTTCGGAGCGCCTTATTTTCTTGAGCCAAAACATGTCAGTAGTCTCAACTGTACAACTGTATATGACAACATGCGTATTGGGCTACATATTTCAACACTCCTCCTTGCTGGAGGGTGCTTGATCACCCGCACAGCAACTATACAGTGCGGTAGTCGAAGCCTGGACCAGGGCCTTACGAATCTAGAAGACTCATCTGGCCTTTACTCTTGCTTTGAAGAAACACAAATCCGGAACGATTCATTGTGTCCTTCATTTGGACTCCGGGTACTGACTTTGTCAGCACATCAGACCTGTTCCGCTTGCCTGGTATGTGTTCTACCTTTAAATGATTCATCGCCACACGTTCCTGTAACCACAGATAACGAGTTTGAATGCGGCGTGCCTTTCCCAGGCCAACTCAATTAAACCGTGCCTTTGGCTGCGGTTGCATCAGACTCTACTAGAACCTCTACCTCAACTCCAAAGTCTTGAAGGAGGGATTGAAGTCCTAATCCTACAGAACCGCCTTTCACTAAAGCGTAGTACTCACTCTCTCCAGTGCTCAATGCTATCGTCGACTGGACGTTGCTTGAGTGCTTCAGCGTATGGCTACCATAGAGGGCAACCATGCCTGTGGTGCTTCGCCTAGTGACAGCGTCTCCTGCATGGTCAGAATCAACCTGTATACGGACCTTCGAGGGTTTGGCTTGTCTCCCAAACACTTGACAAAGATCAGGATACTTCAGCAAATATCTGCACAGTCTCTTCAGGTCTTGCATCGCCGCCTCGGTCGGGGTGACCATCGATTCTTCACAGCGTGCGAAAGATCAGGACGATCTTGACTGAGATACGCTGCTCGCATCACACTTGACCTATAAAGTGAAGCTGCTTCTCGTGCCAACGGAGGGCTGTTAGCCTCCAAAAGCTGCTGCTCCACGGACTTCTTGATGTCTGGGGTCTCAGTGCCCTTCGCGTTCACCATTCCCAGATGTCTCACCAAAAGTTCCACATGACGGCGGTCAGGTTCCAAGAAAACCGCTGACTGGCCTTCGTGCATGCCAATGCGGATCAGACGATTCAAGAAATGTGCTGCGCGATCATCTCCATCCTCGTCTCCCAGCATTCCGAGCCGTTTCAGCTCGTAGGCACTCCTTAAAGTGGAATCCAGCTCATCCAAAGCTTCTTGATCACCAAGTGCAAGAAAGTCGTCTCCATGAACCAACACTCTGCACCCTGTGCCCGGCTTGTAAAAGCAGGAACCATTGCTGCGGCCACGCTGAAACCCATGCTTCAAAAGAAGTTGGGTATAATGGTCTTGCCATATTGCTGGCGTACATGCTCTTTTCCAACAAACCACAGAAGCCTTCTTCTGCGTCTTCTGGTGGAAGCTCCACATATATGCGTCGCTTCGGAACTCCATAAAAGTGCGCTCGACTTATGTCCCAGAGACCGAGCTTCAGTCTCCGGCCCTTGGCTGACACCCGGTCTGTTGCCCAGGCACTCAGCAAGTAGCGCATTGCCTCCAACGGTGGCGTTGACGAGAACAGGAGGTTCTGCGGCAACTGTTCTTCCGGCTTCTTAGCTGCCTTAATTTCACGGGCAACTAATCTAGACCGGTAGTTGGGCTTTTCAGGATCTCCTTTGTTCGTGTCTAACCATCTCACCGTGATTGGACGAAGTCCCTCTGCGTAGCATTGTGTTACCGGCACCTTCCGGTAAACTCCTTGCTTCTTGAAGTAGTCCATCTCAAGAGTTCTGGCCTTCTTAACTTCTTCCGCTGGTAGAAGTCCTCCATTCACATCATCCCAGTACTCTTCAATGTAGTCTGCTGGAACAAAAGGTTCCTCACAGATTGGCCCTGATGTATTCGACTCCATTGAGTTAAGCTCACCCTTCTGTACAAGATAAGCTTTGACTGTCCGAAGGACAGCTTTGACCAGCGCAGGTGGGTACCTGGCGGCCTGTTTGGCAATTCCACCAATAAGGTGTACATGCCTGTGCCAGGGATCTTTCCCTGCCTTGTTGCTGCACTCACCTTCCAAGAGCTCAGCAAGCTCCCGGCTATTAGTGAGCCAACCGGTCTCCTTTCTCACATAGCCTGTGCCTTGAAGACCACGGCGGTCTGTCGCCATCATCTCCCATCGGCACATCGGCCCTCGGACCAAATATGTGTCCGGGCGATCCGTCAGTTCCTTGACTTCAGGATCTTTCCACGAAGTGGCACTCCAGGGCGCCTCGTGCAAGAACAGGCGTCCTGCATCCAGCTGCTTCCTATAGAAGCTGCATGAGTTGTGCAAATGCTCCAGTGCTTTATCCATACGGATCTTACGTTGATCCGGGCTGACCCTGTACTTGTTGATGTTCTGCAAGTGGCTGAATTGATCACACGGCGGACTCCCAGTCAGTAGTACTGGTTCGTCGCGATCAATCAGTTGGTTTACGGCCTCGACGTCTTCTGGCCTGCTAAGGTCCCAGAACGAACCGTCGGGTTTAGCCTCCTCAAGGTCGATTGCGAAACCAGGCTTTAAACCAAACCTGCTCGCCTCCTTAGAGAATCTTGCTGGACTGTACACTTCCATGATGTGTACTGCGCTTAGCTCGCAGCTTATGTTGGCTAGAGTCTCAATTTCCACTGACGAGATCTCTACCTCCTGCTGCTCATAGACCTGCTTGATTCTCCTTTCGATCATCCTCTTCACCACCTCCTTTGCCCTGCTCAAAGACAGTCCTCCCGCGTCCGGGGGCTGCCCTGGAGTAGTTGCTCCAGCAGGTGGCTCTCCAGTCTGATCTCTCAAATCTTCAACTGATACCTCAGGTTCTCTCTTTTCTCCTTGGGGTGGCTGGAGTTCTCCCGGTCTTTTCTGAGGCTTGACCGGTGAGGCTTTAGCCTTACTCCCTGCAGGCGTACTGCTACTGCTGGGCTCTGCAGGTGCACGTTTCAGGCTTGACCTCTCCTCTGGGTTGTCAGGGTATGGCAAAATGCCTTCATCCCTGCGTTCTTCACTAGCTTGCACGGCCTTGTCGGCCGGCGCTCCAGCTGCGTCATCAGCTGTCACATCCCTCTCAGGGGCCTCATTCTTCTCATCCCTTTTAGATCTCTTCTTCCTCTCGTGTTCTTCTAATCTGCTCTTGCCTTCCTCATCTTGTTGCATCAGAGTCACAATCCTGGCTCTGCATGCTTCCGTGCGTGGCAACACGGTAGATTGGCCCAGCAAAATGCAGGTGCATCCTGGGCACCCATCTGTAGGCGTGTACTTCTGCATAGGTGGCGCCATGACATGAACTGCTGGTGGCACCTCCATCCTTGGCTCTCCAACCAAGACAACGGCTTCTCCAGCCGCTCCGGCACGTGGCGTGCCCGGTGACCTCCGTGCAGTCACCTCCCATGGAAGCCCTCGTAGGGCATCCCAACCGTCGGCTACCCAACGGTCACAGTCCGCCAGTCTGCGGACTCCAGTGCCTCTCTTGACACCATCTGCCGTGATCACCAAAAGTGATCCGGTACGACCGTGGTGGCCGATGTACCGGCCTTCCTTAAGATGTCGTACTCCTTCTCCTACCTCACGGTAGTACAACTTTTCGCCTATAGCGATCGCTGGCTTTCGCCATTCTTACCACAACGCCTGTGTTCAGGCGTGCGGCCGTCCGGTCCTTTGCGGTACCGGCACATCAGGTCTGCCGCATGCCGCGGAAGCCATGCCAGGACGGGGTCGTCCTCACGTAGAACCTTGCCGATCCTCTCTTCTAAAGAAGACCTCAAGACTCTTACCTGCCTCTTGACCTCACGGACTGCATTTTCCGCAAGTCCGTTGCTCCGGTGGTCACCCACCGGGGACTCCTGTGGAACGTTTTCCACTCCAGCCTCACGGGCTGCCTGCTCCTTAAGAGCAACAATCGAATGCTCTCACCATCACTCATCATGACCGCTCTCCGATAGCCTAAGTGCTTCAGAAAGTTGGCGAAGAACTTCACGGCATAGGGTGTAGGACCCTTTGCATCCACAAAAGTGGCTGCCACGGACAACGTCCGGCTGTCTTTGATCACCAAGATAGGCTTGGCTCTTCCATCTTCCTTGCCATCTGTAGTCATGAAGGTGTAGTCGCTCGCGATGATGGGTAAACCGTCATCTCTCTTACTCTCCTCGTCTCGAGACCTGTGTTGCTGACCTAGGCCTCTCCCAGCAACGCAATGCCGGCACCAAGTCCTGTACTGAACATGGCCTGTGGACTCATGCTCGTCCACCTCCGCCCTTGTCGGGTTCGCTGGTGCGTGCACCAACGCAGGCGGTGCAATCTCCTCACTCTCCTCTTCTCTCTCAGGAACACCCTCAGGTCGGCCCTCAGGTGCTCCCATGTCCTCATCTCCTCGTCCGGCGGGCACGGCATCATCTGCCGCTGCCATGGCTTGGGCCGGACTTACACCACTGTGGGCTGCCGCCCAAAACCCTGAGTAGGTGCCTTCGCCTTCAGGTAGAAGTTGTAGACACCCTTCTCCTGGTACACCGGAATCCATGCCTTCGCATGGTGCTTGTTCTTCTCCTTCTCAATGAGCTCCAAGATCTTGCCAGAAACCTTGGAGTCCTGCGGGATCAGATTCCCGCCATGCTCGTCTAGCACCGCAACTCTGCCGTGCTTCAAGCATTTGTAGGCCGAGACCAAGGGTTTGTGTACCGGAGCCAACGGGCCTGTGACACTACAGCAGTGCCCAAACTCTCCGGTTCCTTTGAACACACCCGTACCAGTCCCTCGGACCAGCTCACCTGAGGCCGTCTTGAACATAACCTCAGTTCCTTCCTTGACCGGCACTTTGTCTGCCCAGTCTGATGGGATTGCTGTCTGAGCTGCACCGGTGTCCAAATTGAAGCGGACCCATTCCATAGCCTGGAGGTCCTCTCCAGCTGTAAGTGCACCCAGTTCAAACATACCCACATCGAGCTCTCCTTCGGGTTGTTCTTCTTCATGGGCTCCCTCACCTGTGTCCTCTTCCAGTGAGTTCGCTCCTTTGTGCTTACCCTTGCTCTTGCCTTTCTTTCCACCTCCTTTTGAGCCTTTGCTTGAGCCTTTGTTTGAGCCGTCCTTTTTTTACTCCAGCACTCCGCAGCTTTATGCCCGGCTTTACCGCAGTTAAAGCAAACTATGTCCTTGGAAGTTGAACCTTTTCCCCCACTGCCCTTGTCTTTACCTTTGCCCTTACTTTTGCCCTTTCCACCGGATCCCTTGCCTTTGACCAAGCTGTTGATGACCTTTGTGAGGCTGTCCACGTCCATAGGCGCCGGACCACTGTCCGATGAGGATGCTGCGCCAGGGCGTGAAATCGGTGCCTTACTTCCCAAAGAGGATTCAATCACAAGGTCAATTTCTGATTTCATCTGTGCGTAAGTCGTGAGGCGTCCTTTGTTCAACAAAAGGTGGCGTTGAGGACGGGGCTGCCAGGGCGGTCAAAGGAGATCGCCAGTTGCCCCAGGCGTCCGAGTCCGACGCTGAAGCCTCTGTGGATCTATTGACGATCCACCCTTTGCGCGCCGGCTTCTTCGGCTCTGGGGGCCTATCCTCTCTCTTCTTTCTCTTCTTTGGTGGCTCCTCTGGCTCCTCTGGCTCCTCCAGCAGCTTAGCTAAGATCCTCTCTGTCTCAGCTGCCTGCTGGGCAACGCTCTCCTCGTTGGGGGACCAATCTGGTCCCGAGGCCAATTCTTCTGGCCCCTCTTCAGCTCCTCCGAGCTGCTCAGGCCCGGTCTCCTCCACCGGGGCCTCTTCGGGCAGCTCCTCGGTCTCTGGCACGACCGAAGCGCCCTCCTCGCCTGGCGGCTCTACCGCCGCCGGGCTCCTGCCGCGTCCGCGGCCTCCCCGCCTCCAAGGCGGTACTGATCCACGCCCTCTGCTGGCGTAGTACCAAATTGAGCGCTTAGGTCCCTCTGAACCTTTACTGCTCCCCGCTACCATGAAAATCTAATTGGCCGCTTCGGAGCGCCTTATTTTCTTGAGCCAAAACATGTCAGTAGTCTCAACTGTACAACTGTATATGACAACATGCGTATTGGGCTACATATTTCAACAAAAAATCAAGAGAGCCCAAAACCCACTATGGTGGCTTTCTTTTTGTTTCCTACTTGAAAAGCCAAGAAGGAAAGATTGAGAGTTTTGTCTTCGCCGAGTGGCACGCAGCCTGGATGCCCAGGGCACCAACGGCCATGACCAGCTCAGGTTTCTCCCAGGCGCTCAGCTCTGGCCAAAGGTCCTGACGCCCGGGCAGTTGCCAATGGGGAACTTGAGGTACAAGTTGTGGAGCCAAGTCAAAGGGGGACACAATGCCGAGGCTTACACAACAATTAAAAAGGTTTTTGACCCAGGTGATGTTTTCTGCCACTTTGCAAAAAAGGAAACAGACCCCCGAGCACGGCCACGTGCTTCTGGTGGTTGCTCTTTGAATAACATCCAAAAAGGGAATTTTGCCCAAAGACGGGAACCAACAGACTATAAAATGGGTTTGGGCATTGAAGGTGCCAATTTGTGCTGCCTTTCATTTTCACACCCCACATGTTGCCAGGATTAGTTGCATACTTGACTCAAAACGCATGGCGTGTTGGTACATTTAACATTTAAGTAGCACAGCCCAGCATTCCACAACACACGATATTCCTTGTGTGTTCAACTGGACCAAAGCCAAACACCAAATCTCAACGGGCTTCCAAATCTCAGATCCAAATCTTATCCAAAAGTTGCGGAGTTTGGATCGCGAATTCCCGCGAAGGTGCGGCCTCCAGCGCCTGCTGCGCCTGTGGCTCCCGCAGCGCCCGCAGCGCCGCTTGGTGCACTGGGAGCGGGGCGCGGGCCACCAGGCCCAGAGCCTCCACGGCACAATGCCTCGGCTGTTCCGTATTCGATTTGCGAATTTTGACATTTCTTATTTTGTTCTTATTTTGTTCCGTATTTTTGTTTTTTTTGCTGATTTGGGCATTTGCGCTCAAATCTGCGGCAATTTGGAGGACCTCCACCTAGTCTGCAGGGAAGCAACAGGTGGCAAGAACACGCCCATGTCGCAGATTCTCAGCTTCTCCCGTGATTTGCTATAGCCACTGTTCTCTGCAAAAACCATCCGAGCAGCGTGGGAGCCCGTTCCAGGACCTTCAGCAGCAGTGGAAGCAGTAGCCCTCGGCGCGCACTAGGCCAACCCAATCTTTCAGTCAGTCAAAAAGAGTGTTGCAGGTCCCAATTGAAGGTTGGGACCGGCTGGGGAATGGATGGCTATGTGAAAGCAACATCATGCTTCCTTGAAGTAACACCGTCAAGCCACAAACAAGTCAATTGTTTTGACACCCCCTTTCCCTCAAAGGACTCAGAGTGTTTTGACCAATGTAGTGGACCTCACTTCCCGGAGAAAGCAGCTGCAAAAGCGCCTGACAAGATCGCCTGCATCCTACCCTCTTGCGAGTAGGGAAGGCTTGACACGATTTTGGCCCGATCCATGCCTTCTTTCAGTCTCTCTGCAAAACGGCCATGTTGTTGCTTCTTGGAGTATTTCATGAAACATCCAACATGTTTGCTCGTTATTTTATTTTATTTTATTTTTTTGAACGCACTACCTCGCGAGTTTTTCTCTGGTAATGTTGTCCACGCCCACGATTTGTCAACATCTACTAAGAATCCCCTTTGCGAGAAAAGTCCAAGGCAATAGATGTTGCTTCGTTGATGGTCCACTCATCTTTGGCAACAAATTCAATGTTATCAATATACTGCAAATGAGGGGTTGTGCACTTACATTGTTTGTTACCACATGATGCAATTGCGCACCAATTGCAACAGCAGCCACCACTGACATGGGGTCGCCTTCCGGAATGCCACAGCTCGCGGTGCGTGGGAAACTATAGTCATTTTGAATGACAACTGCTCCCTTGAGGTTATGCAAGAGGTCCAGCCAGCTTTTTACAAACTCAGCTGGGAGTCCGAAATCTACCAACAACTTATTTAAAGCAGCTCTGGGCACACTATTAAATAATTTTTGCAAGTCGGTCACTGTTCCAAATAGTGGCGAGTCACCTGTGAGCGCCTTCTGGGTGTGGTGCCATAGGGTTGTCGGGTCCCTCTTAGGGAGTCCGCCAATGACCGAAGGCGGAAGAGTTCCCGTGAGCTGGGCATCGCGAAGGCTCACGAATCGTGCGGATTTCTTTCTCAAATGCAATCCAAGACAAGTGAGCCAATACGTGTGCAAGACGGGCGACCCAATGTGCTGGCCTTGCTCTACTGCCTAGGTATGAAAGCACTTGCAAAAAAGCATTATTTGCTGGACAGCTCTGGAGGAAACCGTGACCCAAAAAGGACCCGACAAAGCAGTCACATGTGCCGCCTTGAAAAGGGAGTCGCGGCCGAAAAAGGGTCAACATCCTATCGACCCCATGTGCTGGTTCCACCTCATTGGTCAAATAGTTGAGTTGATTTGCCTTTTCATGGCCGCCTTGTACTGGGAGCGAGTTCCGGCCTCAGCTTCAAATCATTGCCAGGCCACGCCGCGAAAACTTGTCATCGCTCTGGCACAGCCTACAAGGTGGAAAGGATGGGGTCTGACGCACAAAGGATCACAAAGCAAGACGTCTTGACATCCCATGCGTATCCCAGAGAATTCCTTTCACGAAATTGATATTTCAGGACTTCCCTTGTTGGAAGCTTTCAACCTTAATTCTGCAGACTTGACAACAGTTTTCAACAGCCTCTCAAGAGACCCAAGCCCGACCCCAACATGCAATTCGACTGTGGGCGCCAACTCCATGAAGTCGAAGAGGCTCGTTGCCCTTTCTGGGGGTTTCTACCCACAGTGGGACTCTCACCACCACTAGAGACTTGCCATTTCTTTTGCCCTTGGCACGGTGTATTGCCAAAACCAGCTGTAAACCCTGGTTGCTCACAGGGTGTTCCATTCTTTATGTACTTGCAATGAGGGAAACCAGGGCCACTGAGCCCGACTGAAAGGCCACGCATGAGCTAGGGTACTCCAGGCATGTCCGATTGCCTAGGCTTGCCGTTTGGGCATGTGTCATGTGTCAAAACACTCTGAATCAACCACACCAATGGCTGACATCTTATGTTGGTTTCCCTGTCAACTTTCTTCCCAACCTCTTCCCGGTTTTCAAACAATAGCATTTTTCAGAGTGTTCTCCGTCACCAGACTTGGATTCCCAACGACTAAATTCTAATTTAGCAGCTGGTCAAACACCAACAAAAGGCAACCAACGCTCAGTACGGACGTCTAGCCGCGCCCCGAACAATTCAATGAGACCATGTCGTGAATGCATTGGTATTATTGGTATTTACCACGCATTCAAGATCGCGAAAGGACAATCTCCCCAAGTCACCGTTTTGGTGGAAAACGGCGACTCTGAAAGGGACGCCCCACCTTTCAGAAGCAAGGGCAGCGCCAAAACCCAAAAACGCGTCGCGCACGTTAGAATCCTGTTCAATGCTTCAAGCCAATACGGGACAAGCAATAAAAAGGGGGAACCAAACCCGACCGGCCCAATCGCTCCGCTCCTTTTTATTGGGCGTTGCTCAGAAGTCCAGGCTCTGGGATGCAGGAGGGATGACAATGCGTGTCTATCCCCTTTGACCTGCATCCCCTTTGCGGAGGCTGCACAAAAAGGGAAAGAGGGATCGAACCCTCTAACCCGGTCCCTCGAAATGGCTTGAAGCAAAAGCGGCAACGCGGCTGAAGATTCGAACAGGATTAAAACACCGGGGAACAAAAAACCCAAGCGTTAGAATCCTGTTCACTGCTTCAAGCCAACCAAGCCCGACCGGCCCAATCGCTCTGCTCCTTTTTATCAGGCGTTGCTCAGAAGTCCAGGCTCTGGCTCTGACCTGCATCCCCTTTGCGGCCTGCACAAAAACCCCCACTTTAGCAACCGGCCCCATACTCGCCCCCTCTTCAGTGCGGTTGCGAGGCTGCCCTGTGCTCTGGACGCCAAGGAGCATCGGGCGGGTGCAGAGTCAAAGCGGACTTGTGTGGCCAGAAATCGTGCGGTGCGAAACGCACTCTAGACTGCAGCTTATGTTGAAAAGCAGCAACGTTGCCTCTGCTGAGCTGGTCTGCCTAGATATTGTGCTCTCCCGGGATGTGGGATGCGATAACTGACCATTTATGCTTGTGAGCCCATGCTGCAACCAATTGCACACAAAGTTGCAGGGGCCATGCGGTGGTGAACAGTTTGTTCACTCCCGCCTCCGAGGCGGTGTTGTCCGTGCCGGTTGGGATGCCAACGCTGTGGCATGCTTGCCCCTCGGCCGCCCAGGCGATGCGCATGAGCGCGAGCTGGGCGAGTGTCTCAAAGCAGGCGATGTAACGCTGTGCTTCTTTGGTTAAGCAAGGCCACTGAGTCTGGATTTCTGCGAAATTCCACGTTTCCGCGAACCAGGAAACGCAACGCTTGGAAATGAACCATCCCACCTATGCCTACGATGCTGCCTTCTGCACAGGCGTCTGCCGCTGCTTTGCACGCAAGCATGGGCTGGTGTCTAAGCGGACGATTTGGAAGCATTGCAAGAGCCATTCCACGCTGGCCTTGCTTGCTTTAGACAGGCGGGCATGCTCTGCCGAAGGGTCTGACACACGCACCCACACGGCTTTATGGCTTGGGACCACGGCTGGTGTTCTGATCTGGATCCCTTTGAATTCCAGGATTCGAGAACCTATTGGCATGAAAATGCCTTGCACAGGCGAGACCAGAATGGCTTTTGAGCTGAGTGCCGAGCGAAACGCGGGCCACAGTCGTGCGTTGACAGAAATCATGCAACCTGGAGGCGAATGCAGGTCTGAGTATAGCGGCGCGAGCCAAGCCCTGAGCTCTAGGCTGAGGCTAGTAGCCTCAGAGTGAGCAATCCCAGGACCTGCTCAGGAGTTTACGTCATACTTTGCCTGATCTGAGCAGCATGCGAAGCTGTTCTTTTAGCTTCAGGGTTTTCAAAGGCGTGAGCTCGATTGTGTCGAGACTGAAGTTTACGTTCCACCCACCAGGTGAGGGAGGGAGTCCTGGAACTGCACTTTATTCCAGGAAATCGGTGCTGAAATTGCAGCAAAAATACTAGAATGAGCGCCAATTGCTCGTGTGCGTCAGCCCGATGCAGGGCTGCAAGCAGATCATCTACGAACAGCCAAGCTCTATGCGGGTGGTTGGCTAGGATACCATGCAGCAATCTAAGTAAGAAAGCTCCTGTGCGCTGCCACCAGTAGGCAGAAAAACGTGCGCCAAAATGGCAAACCCTGTAATGGAACAGAGTATTCGCAAAGCGAAACAGCAGAAGGCCGTGCTCGCTTGGATGGACTTGCACCTGTTTGTGTGCCGCTTTGAAGTCGAAGCTGGCTCCTATGAACGAGGCATGCTTGTCCTCGGGAAGGAATGCCAGGCGTACATCCGAAGCCATTGGCAGGCTGATCTGCTCTGGTATGTTACATTTGGGGTTAACCCCGCAAACTGTACTGTCAAGAACCAAACGCGGTTCTTTGCCATCTGCATGCACGACGTTTAGTTTGCCAATTGCAATGCCTTTGGGCCAATGCTGTCGTGCGTCTTCGATACACATGTCAGTGCGAACAATCCAGCCACTGGCAATTTCTCTGTCGAGGAGAGCTGGCACTGTGTCTGGCTCCGCCTCTGCTGCTTTCCAATTACCTATGCACTCGAGTATTTCGGCAGGCATCGCCGATGATTCTTTTGGCGGCCGCTGCATGCTTCTGGGCAATTCAGAGAGGGCGCCTGTAGGGACTCCTTCAGCAAGCAGAGGCAGCAGCTTGATATCTGGGTCGTTGGCTGTTGATGCCAACGCGTGCAGCAGTGACAATCTGTATGGCTGGCCCGCATCAGGCTCAAAACTGGCAGGGCAGGGAATGTTCATAGCTCGGAATGCTACGCGTGCGGCTTGTATGGATTCCGCTTCTGAGAGAGGCGGCGCTGCATTTGCTGAAGCCAAGTGTGCCTGAATTTTGGGCACCAAGTGGGATGCGTGCAACCACTGCAGTTACTCTTGGGACACCTGGCGGAGCGGGTGGCTTGGCGAGGGCGTGGAGTGATCTGCGGTAGAATGCAGGCCGGCTCCATCACACACTTTCAGCCGAATGCGATGCAAGCTCAGCAGCGAGGGCTTTTGCAGTTGTCGCACTTCTGGGCGCCGGCTGACTTTATGAGCGCAATGCTTAATCAGAGACGCAGCTAGGTTGGCAGGGTACTCTGCCGTGAGGGAACTCAGGTACTGACCTGAGCTGTTTTACGCCTGCTATGCTTGGGTGCTTGGTGGCATGAGAGCACCTGGCTGCCACGTGTTGCACGCAGGCATCGTTGCATGCAAAGCACCATGATTTTGCAAGCAACAGGTCATGTTGGCAAGCATCAACCCAGGCCAGGTGCCCATGAAAATATTGTAAACACTGAAAGTTTTCTGGCTCCAGCCATGCCACGCTGGAGGGCGGCTGTTCTAGCAGCGCCACGCCGCGTTGCGCGGCACTGCCTTGAACAGCTCTCTGCCGCGTCTGCCACAAGTTTCTGCTCGCTAGGCGACAAATTTGGCACGCCCTGGGTGTGCGCAGGGCTTTGGGGCCGCCCGGCCTTAATTTCAAGCGACTATACTGCTTACATGGCGGTGCTAGTGTTAACAAGCTCAAGATGCCCGACCAACACGTGCGAAGCAGGAGTTCACACCACGCATCGTCGAGTATGTCATGCTCCGCGTTGGCGTCCAGGTCGAAAAAGCGTGCGAGGCCGGCCCTATCCGCTGCTGCTGAGATGGGCGCGTGGACCCCTGCGAAGACATCCAGGAGGAGTCCTCCTGCTCGACGCTGGCAAGCATGCTGGGCTATCGGGTTAGGCGAGGATGCTAAGCTAGACACGACTGGCACGGCCGGCGGAATGAGTGCCCTGAATTGACCGCGCGTGCAAGGCATACTAAGGCCTATGATGTCCATCACAAGAGCAAAAAGGTCGTGCCTGCTCTGTCACAAGTCACAAACCACCTCAAACAAACGGGAGTAAAAGGGCACAGGAGTGCTTGTCAGGGCGCAGTTTTAAAATGTTTTAAACTGGCAAGCTCATGCTAGGGCGAACACGTAAGGATGCCGAAGGGACACAAAGCACATTGCTAGGAAGGACATGGGAAGGCTCGTGGCCACATTGTCTCACGACACGAACCTGTTCACATGAAAAATGGCTCAGAAGTGCCGAGCGAAAAACCAGGACCTATGGTGCCAAAAAGGGAGGCAAACTGGGGCCCGTGGCTGCACTGTCACATTCTACACGACCCGACTCATCGAAGAGGGTGACGCGTATTTGCGTGCCACGCATATGCTTCAAGAAAAACTCAGTCACAATTGGCAGCATGTGTTGGCCAAAGAACAGCTTCTGCAAACTAAGGCCCATGATGTCAATTACTAAAAGAAATTGGGTCGTGGCTGCACTGTTACATGGCACGGACCTGCTCACATGCAAAAAGGGCTATGGTGCCAAAAAGGGAGGCAAACTGGGGCCCGTGGATGCACTCCCACATTCCACACGACCCTA